GCAGAATTTCTGCAAAAAGACTATAATTCACGTGATTTCTGCTGCATTCTGCATTTTGCAGAAAATCATCGTCCCTGGTTATTTTGCATGCCAAAGACCCAAATAGATTGGTAGGTTACAACCCCAAAAAAGTAGTGATTGGTCGTTGATAAATACAGATATTGATATGATGTAAACCCTATGTAACATAACAATTTGTACCACCCAATTTTTTTTTGATTAAAAAAGCTGTATGTACTCGAGATTTACAATTTTTTTAATCTGGATTAACTTTAACCAAATCAACAAAAAAATACATTAATTAAAAAAATTTAATTAGAAAACTTTTTTTTTTGCTAAGAAGCTATCAAAACATATAATACCAAAATTATGTCATGTTTAGTATCTTTATTCAGATTCAACAGATTTGGACGTAGGCAATATGAGACAATTCCTGATGACCCGCATTTGGAAGGTCACTTCAATTCTCCCGAAATAATTAGGGATATAGTATTGGGATTAAGTGATGGTTTGACTGTAAGTGGATAAAATATAAATTTTTTTATTTTTTTCTTCTTAAATATCTTATGAAAATTTTTTTAGGTTCCTTTTGCGTTGGCTGCAGGCCTTTCTTCCCTAGGGAATAATCATTTAGTAATAACTGGTGGTCTTGCTGGTAAGTAACTTTATTGGAATGTATGATATTTGACTGAATTATGTTACTTAAAATTAATGACCTGTAATGTTGAATATTCAACAATATATATATATTTTTAAGAGTTAATATCAGGCGCCATTTCAATGGGTTTGGGCGGTTATTTGGCTGCAAAATCAGATGCAGACCATTATGATACAGAAAGGCTTAGAGAAGAATGGGAAGTTCAAAATTGTCCTGATGCTGAAGCACAAGAAATTATTGGTAGGTTTATTAATCAGATTAATCAGATTCGTTAAGATTTTAAAGAATTTTCATTAAAAACTTTGATAATTTCATGTATAGATATATTATCTCCGTACGGATTGGATGTTGCGACTTTGACTCCTATAATTGAAAAGTTAGCGTCTAATCCGGAAAAATTTGTTGATTTTATGATGAGATTTGAATTGTGCCTTGAGAAACCAGGTCAGTTAACAATTCTTTTAAAGATACTTTTTATTTACATAATTTTCTTTAAATTTACTCAAGTTCGGTTTTTTTTCTTAAATTACATGTAGATCCTTCTAGATCATGGGTGAGTTCACAATCTTTTGTTATTCAATGTTCATAACAGAACCTTAAATGAATAAGTTATTTCAATACCCTTTAGAAAAGTGCCCTAACTATTGGATTGGCTTATTTCTTTGGTGGTCTTATACCGTTGATTCCTTACTTCTTCATAGAATCAGCAGTTGTTGGTTTATACGTTAGTAGTTTTGTAACATTGCTTGGTCTAGTTATATTCGGATTTATTAAGGCTATGTTCACAGCACCAAATAAGGCTTTATGGGCAGCAATTCAAACAGCTCTTGTTGGTGCGATTGCTGCTGCTGCTGCGTATGGTGGTGTAAAGTGGATTCAATTATACTTCCAAAGTTAAAATTATTGATATATATATTAATTATATTGATTATATTGATTATATTTGATTATATTTGATTATATTTGATTATATATTGATTATGAAAAATGAAATGACTTTATATACTTTATATAGCTTTAATTCACGATTCTTAATAAAAAATATATATAAAAAAAAAGCCTTGTTTTTCTAGGCAATTACTGAATTAGTGAAAAACATTAATTAAATGATGTGCACATCCTATATCTGTAATAATGAAATAGGCTTGACAATACAGTATTAAAATTCCGTTATAGACTATCGCTATATATATTTTTTAATAACCATTAATAGTCATTAGTAAATCGCAGACATAGAGACGCGTTCTGATTGCTCATTAGATTAAAATGGGCCTGGAAGATGTTAGTTATACGTAATATGGCTGTTTTATTATTGAATCCATTATACCAGTCTTAATTTGTCTATCAAAATTTCTGTATTTCAAATTTGTTTATATTGGTAATTGACTATGCATAATGTAAATATCGTGACCTTAACTATGTTATAACAGCATTTGGTATCTAAAATTCCCGGGTTAAAAATTTTTTTTCCTAATGAATTTTATTCATGAAATTAAAATTTTTAAATGCACTAAAACCAAGAATTATAAATATAGAATTCTTTAAACAACGGAAATGTGGGCTTTTAGCATCTAGAACAATTAAAACAATAAGAATGATTTGTTGTACTTGGAGATGGGCGATTGTAATATGTATGATATTATTACTTAAATATATTAAGTAAAAGCACAAAAAAATGAGATTAGATGTGAATCTAATCATAATAACGATAAACAATACAGCAATAATTAACGTTAATAATCCCTGTGTAATTTTAGAATTTTAGTGATTGGATCTGCATAACTTAGGTACAACTTATGTTATCAGATATTAGTGTTCCGCAAAATGGAACCGAATACCCGGACCCGAACCGGAACCGGGCTACGGTTCGGTTCCGGGTCCATAATTTTTAGATTCGATCAATTTCGGGTCTTAGTAGGCGGATACCCAATGGACCCGCATATGTTAATCACCTGATCTTTGGTCAATAGAATGTTAGATATCAAGTGATTAAGATCTCAAGTTTCTTATATATTCTGTACAATATACCAATTTAATTATC